GATGGCACGTGCCATAATTAACAGGAAAGTCGGTCACATGTTGAGCCATTTCAATCGCTTACGTTTTCGTATACAGGAGATAAAATATCACTACTGTCATTATTAAAAATATCTATTAAATCATTTGCAATGTTAGCAAAACTCTCACTGTTCTCATCGTCGCTAAATTTTCTTTTTGAACATATTTTTCTAATATATTTAAGAAAATATATTTGAACGTGCGACTGCGGCCAAGAATAATACGTAACTGACAATGAGACAAAAGAACATCGGCGAAAAGTCTCGTATTGTTTACGTTGAGATCTATCTACGAACCACGAGCCTGGTGTTTACGTTTCGAAGTACTGAGGTATTCTATCGTTAAAAGTTGTCGCACTGGACTGTGGACGGCTTGTCTAACGTAGTTTAAGATTAATGGTCAAAGCGAAGAACATTTAGAAAATTAAGATTTAATTTGATTGAACTGATACAGAATGTGATATCGAAACGAACAATGTTCCTTCACGAGGAAGTTTTCATTAGAATCTGATTGGGTCGATCAGTCAAGCCGCTTGATTGTTTGCTATAGGTCATCAGAAAAAAGCAATAAACTACATCAATAAAACAGATATTCTGAGCCTGATTCCGTAAACATTAGGTAAAAACTTTCCGGAAACATAATTAATGTAAACGGAACCAGGATTCATAGGCGTGAAAAATCTTTAATTTCCTGCAGTAACATATGTTTGGTCCGATTTCTTTACCACGAGTCTCACACGATGTTGTAGGTAAAGGTGTATATTCCTTGAGATTCAAAGAACCATTCATTGTTGTGGGAAATGAATAAGTGTGTAAATAATTAGTTACACTGTGTTTGTTATTCGATAAGCTTGATGGCTTCTACTAAATTCAGAAAGCTTGTCTGAATGACAACAGATATACTTAACTGAATATTGACTGATGATGATTAGATCTTGCCTTGATTAAATGTTAAGGTCATTATATTCTTATGTTGAAAATTACTGTGTAAAATTGTCTTGAATATTATATTTATATTGTTAAAAAACTATTAGTAAATTACTGTATTAATTTTCCTCAAGGTCCTCTTTTATAATGAGCCTTGGATTTCCAAAAGATTTTAAGGAGTTGTAGAGCGGGGAATGTGTTAAGATCAATCCAGAAATATGGTAGAAGGAACAAAATTTCCCATCGCCGCCCATGAGAGTGATTCGGGTGACATTTTTGGGAATGCTTAGAAATGGTTTAGAAAGTCCTAATTTGTCATGCTGGGGAGGGCACATCCATGTCATACGTGTTACGTACCTTTGGCTTTAACAAATTCAATATAAAAAAAAATACTACTAAAGTATCATATTTAACCTTTCGTGACAAAAAGAAAATTTTTAGTTTTTATCCAGCTAAATAAACAACAGTGTTTAAGATTTTACAATTACACTAATGCATTATCGTTTTTTAATATACTGGGTAATATATCTAAATTTTTCCTAATATTTTTAAAAAGATGTACATAATCAAATATATAGTAAACTTTCGTTTAAATTTCCGTCAACCATAGTTACAAATCATTATAGTCTTTCATAATTGAAATTTTATTATGCTCAATTGAATAAATGAATTTCGGTTGACGTTATCTATATTTTTTGATACTATTCTTATTACTCAGTGTTACCAGCACAGACGAGATATACGAATTGTGATTTTTTATTATGTCGGTATTTCAGAACATGGGCTACGAAATCCCATAAGCATCCATATGATGTTATATCTGTTCATATGATGCAAAATTTATTTAAATATCTTGTCTATGTTTTGTGTTTATATATTGCTTTCTTCCCCTTTTTCAATTTTGTTTTTTTGTAGTTCGTTTTCGTATCAAGAGATGTCGCCTTCAGTCTGACTTATCCGTTTACGCCATCTGCATACTCTTTAGTCTTTTTCCTCTTATCTCTTTCAACACTTTCTCATGTATCTCTTCTCTTTGTATTGTCTGTTCGCTTTATTCTCTATCTTCACACTCTTTCCGTACATCTGTTTTGCATGCACACAAAATAAACCTCGTTAGATAATTATCGATTCTTGTTTTGGAAACCTTCGGATCGGTACAGAAGCCGTAAGCCGACCAAATTTTGTAAAAAGTTGTCGCAAAATCGATCCTGACTTTGGAATTCAAAGTTAAATGTTTCTTATTGTTGGAGCGTATTCTATTCATTATGAACATCAATTTTGCAAAAAAAAAACCGTGGATCGAAAATGACCAATTTCTTCTCTAGATAAATCGGTATTATGGCTCTAACAGTTTTGCTTGTTCACCAGTTTTTGCTTCAATATGACCACCATTATTGTATAAACAAAGTTTTTATCTTGCTTCTAAATTTTTTTCTAACTCTATCTCAAGGTATGGGCTGACATGTATATATGTTGTTGTAGACATGTTTCATTGTTCCTCAGAAAAAGAGATCGACAGGCCTGGAGAATGACGGCCAAAAATACGATACAAGTCTGCGCTCTATCCATCGATGGGAGGAATATTTCAAACATTTCCGATTCAAAAATTCACTCACAAATCTAACGAAATGCGATGGTTTCCCATTGCACATGAAATAAATTTCACATTGACTGAATGATGAAGTGATATAGTTCATCTGAGTTAAGTTATGAAAAATAATCCAACGAGACGCAGATAATTTAGAGTAGCTAAATTGAGCAAATAAAAAAAGCAATAATATTTTCTTCAATAATTCTTGCCTGTGCATTAAGCGAAAAACGATTTTGATTAAAAACTTGAATCATAGCATGAAGGTTGTCATATATCCAAATTCTAATATTTTGAAATGTACTATTGGAAAAATTTCATGCGAAGAGCAGCCTTCGAAGGAATTGCAGATCTTAGTCTAATTTTCAACATTTGCCGACAAAAATTACGTTGCAGCGCGTAGTCTTGGTAATATATACGATGATAGGGACATAAACCTTCATTACGAATTATGCGTGATACAATCACATGAGAAACTTCAACTCGACGTAAGCTAAAAGAGGAAATGCAATCACTTGTTCCTTCTTTCGCCAAAAATTCAAAATCTTAAAACTGTTGATCAAGTTTTTCAAAGTCTCGTTTGATTTGTTATATTTCTAGAGTTTTCTTTTGCACTATTAACTTAAGGGAGTGTTACGTATAACATGGTATATATAACGTGCTGAAACATAATTTCCAAATATAAAGCATTTAATACAAGTATAAGTGATAAAAGCTGCTTCGTCTTATACTTATTCTTCTTTTTATAACGACATTCACTGGACAATACATCAGGAATCACTGTGGATATTAATAATTATTTGCGCGTATCGAAAAGCTTTAGCGTGTTTATAAACTTCTTCAAAGCATTTGTCTGAATATAATATCGCAGCTGTGGAATATGTAATAATAATACTCAAAAATAATAATTTCACTAACGAATCTTAGTTCCTTTTATGCAGTTGATGCTCGTGATGAGTAGAATACGATGCAATGATAAGAAAATTTGACCTTGAATTTTGCGGTAACTTTTCTTAACATATTTAACACGTCGATTCAAAGGTGTAGAATTATCTAGAAGTCGTGATATCAAATTTTGTTACCAAAATCTTCTATATTTTTCGACAGATAAAAAACGAACAATTGCAAAAACATAACAGAGATTTAACGTTACATGTACATTTATAGGAACGTTTTCTATCTTGTAGTCTTTCAAAAGAAATTATTATCATTATTCTCGCGTACACTTTTGAACAAACTTTCGTATGTTATACGAATATATGTTAATGATATGAAACACACACTGAAGTATCAATAGAAATAACATATCCCAGTGGACCAAAAGTATGCAAAAAGTTACGTTGGGACGTATCGTCTCGAAAGGGTTAAAGTAAACTTTCCCCGAACGAGCGAGCAGGAAAGAAAGTGAAGCAAGTTGAACGTAAAAGAAAAACGCGAGATACGTCCAACGACATACAAACTGTGGCCGCATAAACTCTCGCAGGAACGGGAACCGGTCGGTTTGCAGGCCGCAACGAACGATCCGGCCGGCAGCATTCGCGCTAAATAATCATAACTCAGAGAGACATTTGTAACGCCAGCTACTCGCCCGTATTTATCGCTGTTGTTGGACGGTTTGTTGCAGCAATAACGGTAATGGGCCAGCTCGACCAGCTCGCCCAACCCCTCGAAACCGCCCCGGCGACCCTCGAATCCGCCGCCAACGTCGGCTACCCCTCGCCGAGAGCGATTTATCCTCGGGTAATTAGCGCGGCTAATAATTAATGCCGCCGCGCATTGTGCTAATTATCATCGGAGAACCTTTTAAGAAATGAAAGAACATTCGAAATAAAACAAAGAGGCCGCGACAAAGGGTGAGCAAGAGGCTGCAGGTGGAGGGTATAAGGTAGTCGAAAGAACATTGGGGGACGGGGCCGAAAGGGGGGCGAGAGAGTTAGAGAGATAAATAGGATAGTAGAAAGATATTTACAATCCCGGGAACGAGTCTCTGTAATAAGTGGTAACGAGTGAGAGAAAACTGCTGGAATGCAACGGTCTTGCAATGCAAGTGCTTGTAATAGAGATTTTTAGACACGAGCAGTAAACTGTTTTCTTTTTTTTCCTCTGGTTATTGTTGAGTTTTGAATTTTTATGAGTTGTTTGTTGCTCAAACAGAAAAAGAAAGAGACAACAAAGTGTAATAGTATAGTAGGATCTAGACCTTTATTGCCGTTTCTTTATCATTTGAATAACAAGTAACTCGTAAAAATTGTGATACCTTTTCTCAAGAAATTGATATTCTCATAGAAACGATTAACAAACGTGCAACTTTTACGAGTTATCTTTATTATTCAAATATGATAAGAAATCCTAGTTCGTACTGTTTCACATATCGCGCGTGTCTTTCATTTTTTAACATCTTTAATGCAACCATTCACACATAGAACAACGTTTCAAGTTATCTTACCCTTAGAACCACCTCATCTCTCGTTTCTCCCTTAAATCTTCTACCACCGCTTGCAAATGTACACACACGCTCATATATGTGCATACTCAAACTTCAATCAAAGGCTGGAGAAATCTTACTCGTCGTAATGCTCGACGCAGCTGAAGTATCGTATCCCTAAAGTATTAGCCCCTGGCTCACATCTGCTGGACAGCGATTCCAATCTACACCCCCAAGTCGAACAAATAAAAAGAAAACACCTCTTGATAACGATAAAGCGGGGCAAAAGGGGGCTGGAAGGTGTACGGATGTGGAAAACGTAGAAATGTAGCAAGTGGTCGGGAGAGGTCGTGTCTACGTGATGTTTGCGCGCTTATGTGTATATTCCAGGGCCGGATAAGGGGCTGCTGGCGTACGTACACGGCCAGGTAGCGTATGGAAACGTGAAATGTGTGTACGTGTGGCCCGCATACAAACGACAGGCAACGGAGCCAAGCAGCTATCCATCAGGGTGCTTTTGTCGCCCTAATGAGAGCTTGAATTATTCAGCTTAGAGAACGCCCCCTCTCTTCGAGGACCCCTTCCTACCTTTTCCACCTTCTCCTCTTCGTCCTCTTCGCCCCTTCTTCGCGACTTCGCTCGCACATGTTGGAAAACTTGAGAATTCCTCCGTTCATTCCGGTACGTAATGTGTGTTCTTAGGTCCGATTTCGCGGTGTTTTCCACAGACTCGGGAATCGGAACGATCTTTGTAGCTTTAGCAAGAAGGTAAGCTGGATTAATTCAGTTCTTTTCTTTTCTGATGGTTTCTTTCACTTTGATACGTTGCAACACAGCAATATATTTTTGGGAAGATATAGGGTAGCTGTGGTTGACATTTTTCTTATCGGAATGATCGAATTTTTAATTAAACTTCGTTAGAGAATTTAATTCACGGAAGTTGTAAATGAAATGATTAAATTCTTAAACATTTGTAGCTTTCTTGAAAATAATATTAATCGAATTATAATTTAAAACACCAAAGTGAATACATTTTTTAAAAATAAAGTTATAATTATTAAAATTAAAATCTTTAATTCATCATTGTTAACAATCTTTTAATGAATTTCATTATGCTTGTACCAAGCATCATTCGAATAAAATATCTGAAAAGTGACTATTCGAATAACATATTTTGCTTGATTTATCTTAAAATAATTCTGCCTTAGTTTATTTGAACAGGAAAATGATTTTTCTCTAAATTATTTAATTATTTCTGTATTAATGATTTCTCATTTCATTTTATATTTTATTTTATATCTGTTTCTTCAAATCATTTTTCAAACAGCTTTTAATTTTATTTTACAAACTTTAGCTTTATTTTAACGTTATTTGTTACTTTATTTCAATGAATTAACTCAAATCAAAAATTATTTGCAAAAAAATCTGAACTCAAGATGAATGTTACTTTTCCTAAGTTATTCTACAAATAAAAATAATAAATTAGTGGAAATAATTCGTTATATCAAATTGTTATTTTCTATCTTTATTTCAAATAATAGATTGGTTTGTATATACCTATAATTTTTCACATTAATAGTAAATTGTCTGTTCGTTATGCTTTTCTGAAATATGCAAAATTTGCACTAATGCTTTTTATAAAAAAATTTTACTACTAGTTCTCGAATTCGATTCGTTTATTCAAGGTTCATTTTGATATATATGTAACCTAGCTTCTTATGAGAAAAAATTGACGAATTATGTTACTATGACTAGCTTCGAGTTTCAAGATTAATAACTATTATTTAACAGCAATTTTAATCACTAAAATCTGTAAAAATTAGCATAATATTCTAATATTAAATTTCGGATGCTTAATATAAATTAATATTTTCGAAAATACAGTTTAAAAAATAGAATTTTGTTAGAAAATTGTTTTATATATTAAATATTCTATTTTATATGCATTTTGTGCAATTTGATCTTATAAACATATAAAACATATATAACTCTACAATCTACTAATAATAAACAAATTACTAATAATAAACCAGTAATAATAAACAAACTAAAAACATCTGACTTTTATTAAAGAATAGAATAATTTTGCCATTTATTAATACTAAAACAAATCGATTGCTCGAAACTTAACGACGATTGTTGCAAACCGTTTTTTATGCCAATCATTGGAAGACAAGAGTCGCAAAAATAAAAATAGGGCAAAATTCCAATTAACTTTAGCCTTTATTATGCGCGGGTTAAATCGACCAACTCGAAAAGCTTCAATCAAAAGCGTATCAATGTCAACGTGAAAGCATAACTTTTTCAATTCTCTCCGTTCCTCTCCCCCTATATATATTCACACCGAAGTTAGTTTCACAATTTAATCCCGGCCTTCGAAATCATTCCTTAAATCGCGAGCGCGTGGTTTGCAACGCGAACAAGCATACGCAAAAATCTCATGAAAGATTCATGGTCCATCAACGGGTAGCATTTTTGAACGCGAAGGTCGCATCCCTATTAAATCTAACGAAGAGATTTTTCGCCGGACCGCGTTCCTTAGGTCGGACCGGTCTGTCAACTAATTTCCCTGGCGATTTTAAAATCATGGCCAGAGCACGGCGATTCATCCGTGCATCGCCGCATCCTTTTCAAAACTGGAACGTGCACCATAAATGCTTGAACGGCCCCAAGACGTCGTTTTAGCTCGTGGAACGTATAAATACTGAGCCTTTGCCTTAGCACGACCTCTTTCGTATATAAGTTCTCCAGCGGGTATTGCACACGTTCCTGGCTGCCTATGCAAAGCTCATTTCCTCGGAGATAATTGCACTGTGATATCGTGAAACTCATCCTTTTTGTGCCAGTGAGAGAAAGAGAGATGAAAGGAGGTTGGGCT